CGCACACGGACCTCAGGCCAAACGGAACCGGTATCAAGATGCAAAAGCTGTTCAAAGACCTCCAAAGTAGTCTGAATGAAGTGGAAATGGTGGATAATGTTCTGGATGGGCTGGAAGGAATATGTGATGTCAAGAGAAGCTACCGAAGGCTTTTCGAGGAAAAAGCTAAGGAAGAGCCCAGCAGATTAGCGGTAGCAACTTTGCTGAAGCGAGCCCGCCAAAGAACCGTCACTCTTGCGGATAGTGAAAGTAATCCAGTGCAAAGCAGGACACTGCAGAAGCTGCAGAAGAAAAGAGAGGACGAGAAGGAAGAAGAAAAGGCAGTGCCGATGCCAAAGAGTGTTCCGGATGTTTTGAAGAGAAAGGAAAATTTGGATAGAGCAGCAAGCAGCAAGGACAAAGTGAACGTCGGTGGAATGAAGCCGGCAGAACCAGCCGGTCTCCCGCCTAAGAAGAAGCAGCGCGCGAAGAGTCCGAATGGGACGAAGGTACGCCTAAGCGGCGTTGGTGGCTGGCATAGGGACTACGAGCGACAGTGTTGTTTCTGCGGCCAGACCGGACATTCGATATTTGTGGAAGAATCCCTAGCAACCAAGAAAGGCCAAGCAGGGGCACGCCCTTGTTCTGCCAACTCTGCCATAAGCAGAGGCCCAAAGCAAGTGAACCCCGAATGGGGAACGCACACCGAAAGCAGGTGTTGGTATGGTCCAGGGTCGCAGCAGCAAACGCCGCCAAAACGGCAGAAGGTTGAAGAAAATAAACTTGTTGCTGTTGATGATGAAGACGAAGAAGAAAAGAAGAGTGGAGAGCAGGATGAAAGCAAGCCGGTGCGCCAGAAGGAAGAGAAGGAAGAGGAAAGCAAGCCGGTGCACAAGAAGGAAGAGAAGGAGGAAAAGAAGCATGAAAAGAAAGAGGAGAAGGACAAGGAGAAGCGAAAGGACAAGAGGAACAAGAAGGAGAAGAAAAGATCCGAAAGCAAAAGCAAGAAAGAGAAGAAGAAGGGGAGAAAAGACATGGTCGATGAGCGCTCCCTTTGAAAACGTTTGGAGTTGAAAATATCTCTGAACGGACTTCAGCACCATGGATGGAAAGTGTTTCAGAGCACGCAACCGAAGTTGCAAAAGAGAGTTGGCCCAGCCAACGCAGCAAAGTGCCAAAGGACCGGGACAGTAAGTCTAAGTCTAAGTCCGAAAGCCGTTTCACCAAAGTGCAAAAGCACTACCAGCACAACGGACACGCAAAAGTTCGTGTGCAAGTTTCTGAGTTTATAGTAGTGTCTATAGTCCAATTAAACTGTAGTTGCAATTATGGTTTTCAACGGCAAGGAGTATATGCGAGAAGGGTGAAGAAACTTGGAAGCATGGAACCACGACAAGCCGAAGCGCTTAGTCGCAAAGCGCAAGGACGCAGCACCGCTGCACCCGCAAAAGGAAGGCCAGTGCAAAGTGAGATGGAAATCCAAAGGATAATCCAAAGCACGATGGGTTTCTATGTACGAATCTACTTGTTTTCAGGACCAACGACCTTCACAACGGCGAGTTCTACACCTACAACCAAAGTTGGAAGAAAAATGTCAAAGTAAAGAAGACGTTCGAAGTAGCGTGCGAAAACAGAGAGTCGGGAAGCCGACTGAAGGAGGAAGCTCCCAAGTGCAGTGAGAAAGTTTGAGTCGGATAAAAGGTAACACCGTAACAAACATTTCAATTTCCACTGCATGCTGTTTTCCTAGTGTCTCACGTTGTTGACCACAGGTTCTGCACGGCTCAAGCGAATTGAGAAAAGTCGGGATGCGAGTGTTGAAGTGAACTCGTGCTTAAGGTTTGGATTAAAACTTTCAATTGGAGATTGTTGATAGCTCTTCTCGGTGCACGGTGATGATTATTGATGGCCTCCTTCAGATGCTCGTGCAGAACACAGCTCAAAATTATAATTCGCAGCAGTGGGCCGCCGTTTGGGTGGCCAAAATAATGCAACCTTGTATCACCCACCCAACTTCCCTGGAAATATCCCAATTGGGAACTACACACTGAAGATACCACCAATTGCTATGGTTCGCTCGATGATATGGTTTGGCAGCAAACCTTCTACATTGTGAGTTGGTTCATGGAACTCCTTAGGAATGTTTGGCGCAGCTCTGGGGTTAATCTTGCGAAACAATATGAATTGGAAAAGTGGGCAGCTACCTTTGACGTCGCCCACTCTCCTCTTGTACCGTGGGATCAAACATGTGTGCCCCGGCCCCATGGTGGTCGAAGGAAATTTTCGGTTGGGTGCTCCAACCCGACATGGCTATGGTTACGACGGACCTCTTTCAGGTGCTGGCGGAAAAAGCAAATTGCCTCCTGCTTTCTTGCTATGTTGCCTGCCTGCCAGCATGACTTCCTGCTGGATTGTCTCGGGGGCCACGGATGCGTCGTCAGAACTTCAGCACATATTTATGAGGATCTGTCGTGCTTTCATTTCTGTTGGTGAGATCCGTTTGTATTGACATGGCCAGCACGATTCTGATTTCAGCTTGGTCGGAACACACTACGTCATGAATCCCATCTTATCCCGACATTCTTCTCGCAACAATGCTCGCAACTTGCAGGTGGGGCTCGTCGGTTCCCGAAGCCGACGGGGCGAAGCAAACCTGCGAGGTTCTAGGCCTGATAGAGCAAACAGCAGCCCCTTTCAAAGCCGCTTTGCAAGGGCGCAGGGCCCGAGACCAGGGCCAGACCAGAGGGGGGAAAAACACTAAAATTTCAGCCTGACGGGTGCGTTTTCATGGGGCTTGCACCAGGCAGCGACCTCCACGTCCAGGGAGAGCGTCTCGAGGAGCTCAAGCACCGCTGGCAGTGGCCTATGCTTTGAGTTTAGTAAATTTGAGGTTTAGAATTTAGGGTTTAAGGTTTATTTAGTTTAGGGTTTAGAATGCAGGGTCTAAGGTTTTATGGTGAAGGGTGTGTCTACAGTATGCACGCGGTCGGCGCGCCTTTTAACTTACCCACGTATCTCGTCAGGGCCTCGAAGCATATCTGCAGCAGCGACAGGGTACGGCGACGTCTGTCCAGAGCCGACCAGGGATTGCAGCCTGCTTGGCGAGGGTCGCACCAATCCGCTCACACCAATTCAACTGTAGACTTTATGCCGCAAAAACAAGCCTCGGTGGCATCCCGGCTTGCTTTCTCTAGCAGGGCAAGCAGGCCAACAGAAGCGTAAGACGAGGGTGCCAAGTGGACCCGGGGCTTCAGGGCTAGTCTTGGCCCCACTGAGTAAACCCCGAGGCAGATCGGGGCCATTGAAACTCTCGTGGTCGATTTTGTCATGAGAACTGGATTTGAACTCTGGGAGCATGTTGGGCCAAAGCATTGCTTTGCGAAGACGAGAAAGCAAGCTTGTGTTCGTTCAATGTCACGATCACGCAGTCTACACAAGCTGCCTCCACTGCGCAGCCTTGCACGCAGCATCGTAAGTTGGCTAAACTGCTTTGGGGCCGAAGTCCATCATGGAGGTGCGCTTGGCGTCTCTGCTTCCGACATATGCGCAGCTTGCCCTGGTGTGTTCCCTTTGATCAGGTTGCGCCGACCACCACTGGAACAGGCAGCTTGAGCTGCCGCCCCAGCCGCATTGTTGGACTCGCCTCAGAGCTGACACATGCTGTTGCAACATCGGCTGATCCTTTGGCACAGATACATGTACCATGTTTGCCTTATGACCGGACATGAGCTACGTGTGAAAGCCTCATGCTACTTTGCTTCATTAGGGTATGCGGTATGTGCCTATCAATGTGATCGATGCATCTGCGCAGATGCATCTAGAGTAGGCATGGCAGCAGCCAGTTTTAACATGATGGATCCGGCTACCGCATTTCTTGTGCGCGCTGGGCACGAGCTCGCTGCAAGCCAGCCGCGCTTTTCATGCGGAGCCAGTGCACATCAAAAGCGAGTCTCCGAGGGTGGATCTAAGAGAGCCTTGGCGGTCCTTCTCGGCGCTGGCGCCGGTGCACTCGGCTTGCCACGAATCCGGTCACCCGGAAGGTCAAGAAGCCCAGGCGCACACACGCAAGGCAAGCACAGGTTGCCCAAAGTAGTGATGGCCTCCTCAGGCGGGCGTGAGGCCCGTGAGGCCATCCGGCAGTGCTTGCGAGAGAACCGTACGATGCCAGTGCTCCAAGCTTTGCCCGAAGACTCTCTCCAGCAGATTTTGGATACCATGACACGGATGGAGCTGGAGCCGGGCACGCACATTTTTAGGAGGGGTGAGCCTGTGGATGTTGTCTATGTCGTGGAAAGTGGAGAGCTCAGCGTCTTCAAGCGCCTCCAAGAGGAGGACGAGGAAGAAATCGAAGCAACGACCTTGGGGACGGGGAGTTACATCGGAGAGCTGGGCCTTTTTTATGATCGGACCTGCATGGAATCGGTTTGCGTTCGAGGAACTCAGCCCGCAACAGTTTGGCAGCTCTGCCGAGAGGACTTCTTCAGCATCATCGACCAGCTTGCAAACACGGACGACGATCCCGGCTGCGAGGTCGATCCTGACCAGATGGACGAAGAGCCAGCTGCGATCTTCGCAGTTTCGGACGGCTCCGGCTATTCTGCAGGAGGCGCTGTGACCCTGGCCCTGAAGCAGTTCGAGTACAGATATCGGAGCAACTGTCAGAGTGTCGGCACGACCACCTTTCCATACATTCGGTATAAACCTGAGATACTCGAGATCACGCGGCGAGCGAGGGAGGAAAATGCGCTGGTTGTCTATACATTGATGCGCGAAGAGCCTCGCGAAGCCATCATCGAGGAACTGCAGAGGCCGACAAAGCCCGGAGAGAACGAGTCTCTTGGATTGAGTACCCTGTCATTTTTTGCTTAAGGCTGGCACGGGTATTGCTGGGGCTCTGAAGGTCACCGGACTAGTGTTGCTGGAACGGGTCCCGATACCTAAGCAGCTAGCAGGCTTCGTGCGGTGGACCTCTACGAGCCATTGCTGGCGGGAAGAGGGAGACGAGTCGCAAGCTTCCCCTTGTTCCTGTGTGGATTGCCCCTGGCGCAGGCATCCATGGAGGAGTTGCTGGGCATCCCCAGGAAATCCGAGGCTGCTGAAATCTGACCCTCCTCTAGTGGATCGGCGCCGCCTGACGCATGAGAGGTGCGCTCTGCACTGCGCTCACGGCTGTCGGAGGATTGCATCAACATGGTGGAGGCTCGCTTCTTGCTGCGCATGTGTCAGGGGCCAATTTTGCTTGGAAGGCCATTGAGTTCACCCGGAAGCTTGATGACGGTATGCACCCAGAGCTGTGGTCCGAAGCCGACCCGAGCTTAGCGACACGCTGAGACGTCTTGGTGCGTGATCCACGTTGCTTTGTGGACCGAGGATGTTATTCTTATCGGCCTTTCTCGCGCAGGCAAAACACCACTAGCGACAGGGCCCCAAGCCATCCATTTCGCATCTCTCTTGTGCACGCTGTGTCCAAACTGAGGTTCTTCCTTGCCCAGCGAGGTTTCAAAGTGGCAAACTATCCCGTTATTCCGGGTGAAGATCCACCGAAACATCTCTTTGATCCAGCTATTCAGCAACACGTCGATAGAGCTACAGCCAGGCACTCTGCAGTTCTTGCTGACATGCAACTGCCGCCAGCCAAGGCACAAATGTGTCGCGCTGACAATCCAGGCTCAACGTTTGCACGCTGTCCGCTCGGCCCGCATGTATCTTGACTTGACGAAGTGTGTGGCTCCTGAAAGCCGGTGGGTTTGTTAGTTTTCTTTGTCATCGTGCCGTGCTTCTACCATCGCAGCCACATTGCAATCTTGCTAGACTTTTGGCAAGCTAGCGGCTTTTCCACTGCTGTATCCTCATTAGTTTCGAAACTGTCCCTGCTTTTTGCTTATACGCTGACAGTCAGTTTAAGGCCGGGGTGCGAGCTTGTCTGCAGGGGTCAGGAATCGAGGGTGTTTCTCCTCGGGTGATGCAAGGAAAGACTACGGAAGGGAGGAGTCGAAGCTGCTTGGCTTTTTATTCCCGAAGTCGTGGCGAAGGGAGCTGGTTTGTGAGGTTGCCGCCTCTTCGATCGATAGTCGTGGGGTTAGATGGCCCCGGATGTGAGGTCTTCGAGAGGTTGGCCCTCAGATTTGCGTGAGGTTGGTTGGCCTTCAGGTTGTCGTGAGGTTGCTTGTCTCATTTAATCACCTGTTAAAGGAGAGGGCAGGCTAGCAGGAGTCGCCGCGTATGGAAAAATGGTGCTGCGTGGGTGGGCCGTGACGACTCGTGCTCGGAATTGACAACCATATCGGTGGATGTGGCGTGTCAGCATCTTCCGGTTAGTGCGATCACGATCCATTGTAAGTTCCAGTATCGAATCGTCATGACAAACCTGCACGTGTGGTGCCGTGGTGCTGTTGGCTGAGAAATGGGTGAACTATCGTGGAACCGCAATGCGTGAAATATCGGGAGTACTTAGGTGATAAAGTTTGGCAAGCATTTTAGCCGTGCTCCTGATTCTCGCCAGTACTGCTCTTAATTAAGTGTCGCCCATGCATGCAGGGACTCATCAAAGGGGTTTTAGAAGTGTTTCCAGAAGCATGTATAAAAGGGTTCGTACAAGGTCTTCTTAGAAAGGCTTATAGAGCGTGTTCTCGAAGATTTATGGAAGGGCTTGAACAATGATTTGCAGATGCAGCAGAGGGTCGTCTAAACGGTATTATAGAAGGGCTTCATAGTAGGGTTTATAGAAGGGTTTAGATACGATTTCCAGAGGGTCTTATAGAAGGGCATATAAATAGAGGGTTTATGATTGATAGATAGGGATGAATGAGCGGATGCATGGCTAATGGATGGACGGTGCATGGCTGGCAGGCTGTTTGGTAGGTGGCTGGGTGGGTGGCCGAGTGGATGGGATGAGATGAGATCTCGCTGCTGAAGATGCTTTCGCGACACTCGGTTCGTCCGGAGCTTGGTGACTTTGAGGTATGCCTCGATGGAGAACTGCAAGAAGGAGGCCCCGCGGAGCCGAAGCGGAAAGTGGAGTTCCTAAGTTTCTGTAATCCTTGACAGGTGAACTGGCTGAAGACCTTCTATATGCGGCAGCTCGGATGCAGCTCTCTTTGAAATGCTCTGAGATCTGGCCCTGTCCGAGTGCAGGCAGGGTCCTCATTGGACGGTTCTGGACACCACGAATGGTGGTGTGGAGGAAACAGCTGCAAAGGCCAGCGGAGGATTCAGCGAATCGGCTCCCTTGCATCGAATCTGCAACTCTTCTCAAGGTGCTCAAGGTCTTGCAGCAGTTGAAAGGCGTCAAGCATGCAACTGGACAATTCGTCAACCCTTCCATGGAGTGACCTGACATGCTGTCGCCTCGCTTGTGGGTCTACGCAGCGACTCGAAGGCGTTGTTTTGACACGCGCATCTCGAGCAGCCGAGATAGTCGCGTACTGGAGTCTCCTTTGCAGCTTGGCCCAATGGCCGTGCACTCTCTGACCTGTCCCGTGTTGGCACGTCCTGAGTCGGCAGCCATCCCTTCAACGGAGGGCTTTTGAAGGCTGCCGGACTCTCTTAATTGACAGTTAGCTTCTTGCACTCATTGTGCTGTAATCTCATCTGGCAGCTGGCTGATACGACAAAGCGTGTCAGCTCTCGTGTTATCGACAATCTGAGAGGGAGCAGTGCCATGCTGTGACTCAAAGGTGGCCTCTGGGAGTGGCAGCGAGAGCTCGAGGCGGGGGGGAGCTGAGCGGTTTTTCCCGCACTTGGTTTGGCCAAAGTGCGGGAGGTGTTGGCGGGACGTCTGTCTCGGGGGCGAGCAGATGAGGCCAGAACCTGCAAGACTGAAAGAGACCTGAACGCCCGAAACCCTTCATGTGGTGGAGGCTGCGGCAAGCAGGAGGGCAGCCGAGGAAGCCGAGAGGCGCAAGGGATTCTGTGACGACTTTCGTTTGCAAGGGTTCCAGTGGCTGTTTCAGGCTTCTTGTTGAGACAGCTTGTCTAAGCCCCCTCTGGCTGTGTATTTGCTGTTTCAATCGTCTGTGCACTGTTGAGGGTCGTTCCACCAGCGGGTGACTGAAATTGATGCTTCGGTCGTGTGCACCGTTCGCACAGCGTACGCGAGGCAGCCTGTGCAAAGTCCGATTGAAAGTCCATCTGCTTGCCTGCCCGGCAGCTCCTATCCAGTGGTATCAAACCTGTCAGAGGGCGGCGCTTCAGCGAAGCCAAGAAGCCGAGCGGCGCTCTTTGATGGCACAGACGGAGGAGAGCCCGGGCCTCGAAACGAAACGTCGTTGCTTTTCCTTGCGCCACACGGCCTTGGATGCAAGGCCAGGCTTTGCAGCAGTTCTTGTCGGGTTGGCACCATTCGCTGGAGGCCGCCACCTAAAAGTAAAGTCCACGTTCCATTCACAAACAAGTGCATGGCCTGATCACTTCTCGATGACCTTGCTGCACCTTGCCGCATCATGGCTCAGACATGGACTTTGGATGATCAGCTGCACGCGCTGCAACGGGGCTACGGGTGCAACAGCAAGGGATGCGCCCCAATGCAGAAGACAATGGCAGAATCTTTCTGCCACAGAGCCCAAAGCCAACGACAGAAGACAGACTGTCGTGCAAGCAATATACCGAGTCGACTCTTCACCAAGTTTCCCGTTGACCGACATGATGTACAACTGGTGCCGGCAGATGGCACCACATCTCGCAGACCTTCAGGCCGCATCGTTTCCCTGGCTGTGAGACACAGACGCTGCCCAGGCTATAAGTATCACATGCTGGACTCTTCTACCCTGCAAGGTTCCGGAACACATGGACGTCGAGCCGTGGGCTCCGCTTCCGCTGTCCTGAGCCGGAGGCTCGCAGCAGTGTTCTTTCGTGGCTTTTCTGTCGCGGTTTGCAAGTGCACAGATGTGCATCGTTGACAGTCTTGAGGCACCTGCCAAATGGAGCGAAGACCTTCCGTGCTGCCTCTGCCGCCAGCGAAGCGCCGTCGCGCTATCACTGCTGCTGAACTCTGTATAGAACGGTACACGTAGGCAATTTGTTTATTTCTTTTCCTGCGGGTTTCTGTCCCGGGCGTACTGCGTACGACACCTCCGTTCTGTTCACGAGACTTGGGTAGTGTCAACCAGCGGGAACGAAGAAGAGGAAGAACAAGAAGAAGAGGAAGAAGAAGAAGAAGCAGAAGCAGAAGCAAGGAAAGAGCAGCAGAAGGATATGGTCGATTGCAGGACATACGTACAGGACATTCTGATAACGATGAGCAGAAGTTGCACAAAGGCGGTGAAAGGGTGCCAGGGAAGAAGCTGACACTTCGGGAGGCTTCTGAGGACATCTCGCAGATCGCCCGGCCTAGTGAGTACTTTTGAGCAGGCTGGCCCTGTGCCTCTCTGACACTGTAAGCCGTATGAGCCTACCAGACAACTCCATGACAGGCCATATACTGGAATGTGAGCATTCTCGAGTCCAAATTTGCGAGGTTGCGAGACAGTCCAGTTGGCAGAGCTGTGAAATGCTGGGCACGGATATTGATCTCGGGGAGCTTTGGGTGCGTATGCTGTGCTTCGAGGACTGCAAAGAGAAGTGCATGTAAGCAACTCAAAGCTGCACGTCGCCACAGACAAAGCTGGGCCGCGCTTGATGAGGAGCACTGGCTCAGCCGTGACCTGGAGCTATATTCGCACAGGTCTCCGCTGAGCCTGCGCCTGGGATATGAAGAACTCTAAGTTCCATTGCTGCAGAAATCTTTTCGCCTTCGGAGCAGTGCCTGCAGGCATCAGCTGGGGCGAGGCGATCAGCCAAGCTGAACTTCGCACGCACTGCGAGACATCTGGGAGACGTCTGGCGGCCGACGGGGCAACGTGCGTGGAAAAAGCTGCAGCGACGCCTGAAGTGCAGACGGAGGAGGGCTTAGGGCAACAGCAGAGGCTCGCTCCAGTGCCTGGAGGCTCGACTGGAACTTTTTGCACAGCAGCTCAGCCACCTCGAGCGTCGGGTGGACCAGGACAGTTTTTGGGAAGGTCGGATTCAAAATTTGTCAGAGATGAGGGGGGCTTGTGAGGACAGTGCGCAAGTTGAAGGCGCCCAGCGCCGCTGGGTTGAGGCTCCGTGGCCTCTGCAGGCTGTCGCGGTAAGATATGCTCGGCTCCGAGGCACAGTCTGTGCGCTTTGAAGACCTCCAGACCTCGGTGCAGGCTTCCGAAGTTCCAAACGACCAGCGAGAGAGAGAGAGCTGATGGCCACTTGATGCTCCTTGAGGCTCCTTGGGCCTTTTTGTCTCCCTCGCAGCTTATCGGCTCAAGCCGAACCCAGGTCCCTTCAGCTCCGGAGCCGCAGGCTCCCGCGAGCTGTAACTCGGATCCAGTACTTAGCGGCTTTAGCGGCTCAGCGTCTTCATGCACCCCGTCGTCTCAACTCGCAACGAACGTTTTTTTCTGCAGAGCGGGCTGGAATCGAGGCTTGTTTGCCTTGTCGGAATGTCTATGCAGAGGTCTTGGTCTGCTTGCAGGGTTCCATGCTGGTGCGCTGCGTCCCCCTGGCCCTGGCTGCTGCTGCCGCATCAGCGGAAGGCGAGATGCACCGCATGTCTGCCGTCATCAGAGTGCCCTGACACCGACATGTAATTTGCATGGTGGCAGGCTCGCTACCTGCCCGCCAGCTCATGCGTGCAGAGTTTGATGCGAGGAAAGCGTGTCCGGCCACGGGGGTTCGATGCAGGAACCGAGCGTGCAGTGGTAGATGCCAGTAGATGCATGTATCAGGACTGATGCAGACGGGGCAGTCAGACTTCTGGACTCTTACATCCGGCAGGCTAGCACTTGTGTGGGACGCTGCTGACCAGGCCACACATTGAGTCGCATGTGACCGGATTGTTTCAGTGCAGGTGGTCAATGCGAGTTGCTTGGCCGCCTTAAGCGTGTGGAGCTGCCAGTCTGCAGTGTGGTTGGACGGCACGTGCAGTTGCACCTCTAGTCAGGCAATTTGGCAGCAATGGACTGCTCGAACATGGTGCTGCGCAACACAGGGTTGCTGCTCGACAGTGGGAAGAAGCTGCTCATGGCATGAAACCGGTTTTCATGCGAAAATCTGAGGTCGGATCTTCTTCAGGGCGACTGCGTTCGATCCAAGGCCGAATGTGGCTCTGCCTACTGCCCCAACGACTGGGCCAGGAGCTGAGGGGAGCTCGGGGAAGTTTTGCTTTGTTGCGCAGCTCTCCGTATTAGTTTTCCCACATGTTTCGGTCGTGTTTTTCATCAGAGTACTAGTCATCCTTAATCCGCGAACC